CGATCTTTCTCTTTGTTAAAAGATGACGTCTGCAAAATTGTCTCTGTGCCATGAGTTAAGACAAGAAGAGACCAATGAAATCCGACAAAATCATTCAAGCTCACCGTTTTCATCCGGATGGGTATGGCATCAGCAGGCGCAGGTCCTCTGAGCGGAACCTCAGGACGGAGCGCGATTGTTCGCACTTTCTTCGCAGCAGGAGCTATTAGAGAGAGCCCTCCTTTCACAATCACATTTGTTCGCTTCATGGAAACAAGCGCCTCGTTCAACAAGTGTTCAGCTTGCTCTATAGGCTGCGACGCTATGCGTCTCAGCCCCGAATGAATACTAGCATACTCCTGCAAAAAGATTATAGCGATACTGTCAACAATTGAGGTTCTGTGATAAGAAGACCATTTCAAGGCGCTGGAGTAGCTCCTTGTTTGTGTCAAGACGGGTTCGGTCAGGAACGTCAAGCTGCGAAGAACTAGACGAAGGAAAATCAAGAGCAGCATGCGCAACATCACAGCAATCCACATTGTTGTCGATAGTCTCCACAGCTTCTGTATTTGCAAGTCGCCCTGCAAAGCAAAAGTAAGAATATCAAAGAAACTGTCTGAACTGCTTATCGAAAACTCACCTTGTGGTGCATATAAGACAACGGCATGAACGTGCACACAAGAAATGCCCGCTTTACGGTCATCATCGCATTCACAGAAAAATGAGTACGGGCAAGCGGAGCAGCCAGGCTTACGGCAATGGTTGAGATCCTATGCACAAACGATTTTGAAACAGTACCTACGAATGCATTTTCTTGGAGGCTACCTTTTTACATGTGCAACGCTCCTCCTCTACCATATAGAATCTGTTTGACCTTCTAGAGCGGATTTTCCACAAGCCCGGTTCGACCACGCTAATGAACTCTTTCAGCTTCTCATAATCGCTTAATGCCTTGTTTGTGATTGATAAGGTGGTTTCGGAGGCGCCACCGGCCTTCAATGAGCCCTCGATGTTCCTAAATGACATGATTTTACTGAAATTCTTTCCACTGCAATGATCGGAATCAAGACTTACTATCACTTCGGCATCTTCCTTCATCTCCTTTACAGTCGTTATGAGCGCATCGACCAACTCATCTATCCTTATTTTGCTTTTTGAGCTAAACACTTCTCTTTTCAGGTGCTTGTGCCACCTCTCGCACATCATAGATGTGTTCATGACGGCCCTTTTTCTGTGCTGAGCGCCCCATTCTTCTATTCGGTGTGTCCTTAACAGATATCTTAGGTGAGAGGAAGTTCCTTGTGAAGAAAGACCTACCAGTTCTGATGGAGATAATCTACCATTTCCTGCTGCTTCTCATTGAGCAGAAACGTCAGCGTGTCCCCATATCTTTTCGCGAAGAGCACAGGCTTACACGATCTGCTCACCAGGCGGATCCTCGTCATGAATTCTCCAAGTAGAGACGTCTAAATGATGGAATGATGAACAATGTGTCTGTTAGCTTTGTGACGAGTTTACCTTTGTCAACTTCTTCCTAGCAGCGCGCTTGAAGGCTTGAAGCACATGCCAGTTACAGAGTAACTTCCGAGTGCGCGCGTTAGGGAATACCTGCCGGAATGCGTTGTAGAAAGAAGCGGCGTCGTCGCTCATAAAGAACTCCGGCGCGAATGTGGGAACCAGTTCCTTGACTTTATCGAACAAGGCTACCAGCTCATTTTCACTCATCCTATAACAAAACTGTTACTATGCAGTACTGAAGATACATGACAAATGGACTGCACCTAAAACTGAGCATGAAAGCGGCGGCAGTGCTCGGTCGCAGTTGTCAGCAACGATAATTGTGGCAAGCCGCAGCTTGTACATAGACACATTGAATGTGTCGTCAATACCGATTCCTCTGTGGGAGAACTCTGCCAGCCACTTCCGCTGTGTCTCATTTATTAACACTGAAAAAGGAATTTGATATAAACGATATACATGGATTGCTCCCTGACCATTGCATTACAGTACCAAGACAAAATCCATCGCCTGTGTCGTTTAGAACTGGAGTGTAGTACCGGAATCCGTCGCCAACGTTGTTTTCGTTTATACGTTTCTCCAGAGATGTTCAAATCATTTGGATCACGTCGTCCGGGAAACAGATTGTTCCGCCGGCTGATAGCCCTGAAAGGATGACGCTATTACATTTCAAGGTGCTATTGTAACAGAGCATACAACCGAACCTTATATCGCCCACTGTTACGAAGAAAAGACGATTTTCCTTCCCAGTTGATCCGTCTGGCTTTCTATACCTCTCCCTTATCTTCTGCTTGACTTGTCCATAATTAAATCCTTCCTTTAGCAATTCTACAATTAGTTGTTCGCTAGACTTGTCCAACCATAAACGAGAGGGATCCGCTTCATGGCCAATATGAGATAGACAATATTCTACATGAACTTGTCCTTTAGCAGTAACCCGTGCCTGAAGCATCCAAACATGATCGGAATACTCACTACTTCTACGACGACTTACATGCACAAAAGCGGTACAGCGGCTGACCACACGCTTGCAAGTGTTTGTTGATGAAGCTGAAAGCACCGACGGTCCTGACCTATGGCAATCTCTAGTAGAAATACGT